AAAATAATAGATCAAATATAGACTTTTACTGAAATCAGACATTTAAGATGTATTTAGAAGGTTTTACAGATTACACAAATGAAATTTGGTATTTTTGAGATGAAGAGAAGTATTTTTAATCTTAACATGAAAATTACTTTGCACACAGACTATTCAAAACAAATACTCGATATATTCATAAAGAAATCTTTTTTAATTTATTAAAAATACTTCACTAAAAATGTGATTTTTTGTACGTGAAAGACATAATGTTTACTGAAAGTCTGCCAAATTTTGTGAATATATACGTATTATATTAAAAGTTAGTATCAAAACTATAAAGACTTAAAGTGGTGAAGTATATTGATTAAATTCATTTAGCACTGAGCCCACTTAGTTAATCTTAATATTGTATTGATATTTTAAAGTAAAATTATGCACTTGGTACAGCTGTATCAAGCATCGATATTTACAGTAATTGCTTAAGCTAATCTCATATGATGCTAGATGCTCTTTACGATCATTTCATAAAATTTAATAAATTTGTGCTGAAAAGTTCGCAATGAATATTCAATAATAACCATCCACCCATATGATTCTTTTGAAAACTTGAGCTAGAAACTACTAATCTAGTTTGCTTGGCCTAACCAATACTTGTATATCTGCACATGCTTTCATCCTGTAGTTTTGCTGCTGTAAATCAGCCATCTTTAATCCGAATGACAAAAACTAAAAATGATCCGCCTTTGCCCCTAGGTGAAGCTGTAGTAAAAATTTCAGACTAACGGATAATGTGATTTTTTTCATGTGTGTGTGTGTGCAAAAGTTTGGGCAAAATTGAATGGTTTTTGTTGAATAACTTTGCACATGTGCTTATGTTTAGACCAGGTTTGACACCTAATTGCAGGTAGTAAAGATCTGTCAGTGTACCAAGTTTGAAAAAATTGCATGAAAGTTAAATATGTTTTTCTATCAAATAAAGTTGCCATACTTTCAGTGCAAAAAAAAGGAAGAAATTCAATCATTATTGGAGATTTTATGTCTCGTGTATTTGTTAATGGATTGCCTTGAAATTTGGTATGTGAAGTAAGGGTCCAGTAGAGTACACCCACTAAAAATATGTGATAGTTTGGATTACCACAGTCTGAGCTACAGAAAGTGGAAAATTGTTAAACTATCACTCCATAGATATATATATATATATATATATATGGTCAAAAATGGTTTAACATTTCAAATATCTTATTTTTCCATAAATATATGTATTGTAAAGTTTCTGACTATTCACAGGTATTATTTTTGCTTATATCGTGCCAGAAAGTAACATTAGCATCTAGCGAATTAGTGGTTACTATTGAAGTTTTGCTAGTACAATGTAGAAGGCTCTAGAAAAACTAATTCCAGTACTTTTTTCAGAAGGAAACTTGTAGATACTTGTTGCTGAGTATCAATATACCCATGACCCATGTACTTAAATCAATTATTGCAAAATATTGAGTACAGTCGGTTACTATGATTACTGTTTCACTTGTTGGTGTTATGGCAGTTTTGCAATTTCCATTTCTGCTGCATGGAATTTCCAGGCTTAAGTTTCAGGAAACTGAGATAGTGAGCTTGCAGCTTCAACTCATTTGATTGGTTGCTCGGGCAAGTAGCGCTTGGGCCAAACAACCAAATGTACCATCCAGCCTCTGCAATGAGGTTTTGCTGTTTGAGTGATTAGAAATATTGTGCTAAAGTGGTTGCCCAATGGAGGTAATAATAAAATATAAATTTCCTAAACTGTATATTTTTTTTTCACATTCCTTTTATTTTATCTAAGATTAACACAAATTTCAGGCCCATTGGCTGGTGATGCTTCACAAACTTTTGGCATTTAAGCCATAACCTTTAATAATTGAACATTTTTTTAGCATAGGGTGGCTATCAGTAGTGGGGTATTGTAGACTTTGCTTATGTGGGAAATCATGGCCTAGATACACTTGATTCTACCTAAATAGAACATCTTTTAGCTTGTAAAAAATGGTTGAAATAAAAACTTGCATACTATTAAAATTAATTTTGATATTCAAAACTGTTGGAAAAGAAAATAACACAAGATTTATATGTATGTGATATATATATATATATATATATATATATATATACATTTAATGAACATTTAATATTTATTCATTTTCCAAATCATCGTAATTTACTTAATATTAGGAAATACAATAATATGATCAGTAACTAGTTGGATAATTATAACTGTTGTATCATTGGCAATCAATTTGAGAATACAAACATACTTGCTCTGTGCTCAGGATTGTTTTTGTGACTATTTTCTCAAGATCAAGTTCATTAACGTTTTCTTTGTATACACTTATTATCATCAGATGATTTAGTCTTTCATGACCCATAGTTGTTCTCAGGTGTGTTTTCATTCTCTTCAGTGTGAGTAAATGACACTCACTGATAGTATTTGTGGCAGGAAAAAGGAGAACTAATTCAGCCAGAGTAACAAACTCTCGTATAATATCTCATTGTCAATGGATCAGTCTATGATATCTGTGACCGTAAGTGATTTGTTTCTAGATATCTTGCATGTTGACATCAGCTGCACATTTTGTTTTCTCCTCATATTTTAACTGAGGTAACAAAAATGGTGCTGCATTTGATGGCAATATGTCTTCAGTATGATCACCAGCATACAATTTTCCAACTTCCTGAAGTTCTTGTTCACAATCTCCACCTGTTGCTGCTTTAATATTCAGGTTTTCCAAGTTCATGTTACACAGCTTGGCTACTGATACCTACTTTGTAGGTTGTCACACACAGCATAGTATATCTGCCTGTAGTGTTCATGAAGTGTTTGATGATCATGAAATCCTGATTACTTGCCAACCTCATGACTTGTAGGTGCCATCCTTTTCTTTGGAAGCTTAGGCTGACCTACGTCACATTCAACAGCCTTGTGCTTCACTCATTCATAGATGTCATTAAACTGGTCTCTCATCCCTTGTAGATTGGTCAATGTAAATCTCACCATGGCCTGACCCTCAGCTGCTGTTTAGTTCCCTTGCAAAGCTTTGCTGAGTATGTGCCATGCCCCTGTTTTTGAGAAGAATAATGATTCTAGTAGCAGTTCCGAATTGGCTAGTGAGAAAAAAAATAACTGGTAACCATTTGCTAGTGCCTTCAAAAAGTTAAGATCCAGCTTTTTTGCTACAAGTTCAGCTACAAACTAGTGAGAAAAATTGGCTAGTGAGAAAAAAAATAACTGGTAACCATTTGCTAGTGCCTTCAAAAAGTTAAGATCCAGCTTTTTTGCTACAAGTTCAGCTACAAACACAGTGAAATAAGGACTTTTTATCATTGAAGTTATACTAAAACTTCAAGCTCTATATAGTTAGTCTAATAAGGTTGTAAGTCATGAATTATCTTCAAAAGCCCAACACTAAATGTTTCTTTCTTTTAAATTTGATCTTCCACTATCCTTTCTTTCTTACTCACCTGTTTCATACCATCCTTTACTCGACCTCTTTTTTTCTCCTCCACATCATTTTAAAGAAACCCACCTTCATCAAAGACTGGATCAGGGCCTCTTAAATCCTCCCACCACACCAAGTTGTCTGTTTCTTGCTTGAAAATAGTCAACTGTGTGTGAGTATTCTGATGTTGAATAAAGTTAAATGCTTAATCAAGTTCTTTATCCCTCATATATATATCCTTTGGTGACATGATTCCAGTACGTATTCTTGGTGGTAAATTGCTTGTGTTACTATTAATGTGGCCGTCTGTTTCTTGTCAGCTTTGTTGAGTAGTCACTTTTGATCTTGCTTGTTTATATGATGATGTGTCATGAGAAGTTTGTGTTTGTCATGTGACAACTAGTTGCATCTGTTTCAGCTGAAGAAGCTAGGTGAATCTTGAGTTTTACACACCTAGAATTTGATATCATTGAAGATATCAGTATGAATTTCCCTGGAAAATAATGAGAAACTGTTCCTTTTAGTACAATATCTGTTGCACATCAAGTGAGTGCTCTACCAGCAAAGCTAGAGAGTTAAACCACTAGCAGTTGGAAGTGAGGCACTTTTTTTTAATTACTAAGATTCACACATTCTTTCTGTCATGGACATCAACAATTCTCAGGGGTATTATATAACTACAAATTTAACACCAGTTTTTTGTTGTTTTGGGCTTTTTATTGAACCTGAAATCTTTTGCATACCAAGTTAGTTTTCTGGCAAGCTAAAGAGTTAATCCACTAGCCATTGTAAGTACTGCATCTTTTGATGTTGCTACATACCATCATCAGATCTGTATACAGCATATCAAGGTACAATTTACTGTAATTGGAGCTAGGGAAACTATGTAGTAAACTTAACTAAACTTTTTTGCAAAATGGTTAATTTTTTAAAACATTTTCATGAAGGAGAAAAACATTTCAACATCATCATTGAAAATGTGGGTTTTCTTCAATTAACTGAACATTGTGTTTTCATTATAATATCACATTTTAGAATAGTATGTTATGAAAATAAAAGTTTGAATGTTTGTCATTTGTAATAGAAATTTCACATAGTAGTAATATTAACCTCCAAAACTAAAATGTATTTAGAAAGTCACTGAGGTACATATGGACCCCAACAGTAATTCTAGGATTGATGACTGTATGCTAAATTTCTTGTTAATTCTCCATTTTTAATTTTATTGTTGTTTAAATATACATCCATATTAATAATGGCTGGAGACGGCTTGAATGGGTAATGAAGAAAAACTTTAATATAACAGCAAATGTACAATGTTTCGACAAGGTTTTGTCATCATCATATTAAGGTATAATGATTTCTTATATAATAGTGAAGAACTGTGTATTTCTTCATTTCAAAATGTTTTCGCTAAACTAATATTAGTATCATTCGAAGTATAAGTTTACAGGACTAAACAGGTAGTCACGTTTCAGTTTAATATTAAATTTTATTTGTAGTATGTTTTAAATACCCTTAACATTTCCTTTGTTATAATATTCACAGGTAGTGTCCCAGAGTCAAACACCACAGAAGACAAACAACTTTATATCAAAAGCTATGGAATATGTTTTTGGATGGTGACCTGATAAATGCTTAGTCCAATTTTGAACTTATGGGGTTTTTATTGTCTATGTTAGGGAAATAATAAGTTTTTCAAGTACTGTTCTTGACAAGCAGGTGGTGAAATGGAGAGCTAGAGTTAGTGAAACTGTAAATAACAGACTACAATTCATGTTCTTTATAACCACATGTACTTTTTTAGCAAAATAAAACTTTTTGGGGTGCTGGTGCTGTGTAATAATGCCTTTGAACTGTAATTGTGTAAAATAATTGTTAAAAAAAATCAAACATTGTTTGTTAACTTCTCTGTGACAATCATCTAGTACAATTTGAATATTCATATCATATGTATATATTATATAGACCACATTGTTGTACCCTTGACCTATGATAGATCTTTCAGTGATAATGTACTCCAAAAGGAATCTTGTTATGCTTATTCTTATTACAAAATCCTTACAATGATTCTTTTCTATATTGATTTGCACCTAAAATGGAAATAAAGAATTTTTTATCAGATTAGTATTGATAATAATTTTGTAGATTATGTTCTAAATCTAAGTTCAATGATAAGGACAAAAAATGAAAATATTGAGTTTCAATAAACCAAATTGACCCAATTTTAAATGCAACTAAAAAGTTTTTATTAGCTTTTCGTGAAGAAAAGAATCTATGAATTAAAAAAAATGTTATTGAAAATTATATAGAGTTCTAGAAAACATGAATAACTGAGCTAAGTTCTCAAGAAGAAATTAAAAAGCTGACAATTTAATAACTTGAATAACGATCAATTTGCTAAAGTAGCAATCAGAGATTGATGGAATATAATGAATGTATTATTTGTGCTAGCTATCTAATGAATTTATTTTTATCATGTGGTACCATTCACAAAAACAGGTGATGTGGGAAATCTCTGTGGTATGCATTATATAATATTGAGTACCTATGTTGTAATGATGAAATAAATTTGGTCCTTAAATGTCCCCTGGTGGGACAGCAGTAGTTTACAGACTTACAACATTAAAATCTGGGGTTCAATTCCTTGCAATGGACACAGTAGATAGCCCAATGTGGCTTTGCTGTAAAATACACAGGCAAAATGGTCCTTAAAATGACAATCTTTATTAAAACACAGAAAGTGATTGATTTATTGGGCTCTTAAAAATGTGTGACCTAATGAATAGCTTGCTGGACTATGACCATGACTTGACCTATTGGCCCCAAAGAAATGCAGTTAACCCAAATGAAATGTGTGCTTATTCATATATCTACCTAAGAGTTAAAATTAATGTAATTGCCATCACTGACAATAATATTGAATTTCCTATTTTAAAACTTAACAACCCAATATTCAACTTGATCTCCCATAATGAAGGTCAGTAGCAGTTTTAAATACCTTTAGGAAGAGAATTAATCCATCTTTAGTTAAATTTAATGTTATTTCCTAGGGCGTATGATTAGTATAGCATACTTGACGAGTTAAAATTATGGACAACTATCTTTCGTGTGGTTTTATTTGAATATATGGAACAGTCTTTACTGTTGTTGTTCCCATCTCTTCATATACAGTTAATCTGTTTTAAATGCAGATGGGTTCAGTTTCTTTTAAAATGACTTTCATGTTTATTATAACAACATGGCATTCCACCTGTGTTGTGAGAGCAAGAGTTACAAGTCTGTTTCAGCTGTAAGTAAAAAACGGTTATCGCTATTGGTCTAGTTATTCTCACTTAGTGACTGTCACGTGATTTGTGATAAATTATTTACTATGAAGTTCCACTCCATAGTTCCGAAAATAAAGAGACTGGTTAAAATGTTATTCTAACTGCTGGTGAATTTTATTTAACTGTATATTATATTAATTTGGAGGTTTATGATGTAATTGAAGGCATTAACAGCTTTAGTACTTCTGGTTCTCTGAAACATTATACACAGCCAGAGAAGTTAAAATCTGGTTCATCAGCAGCCTGTGCAGGGTTTTATATATATATATATATAATGTGCATATTCATTTGCATCAATTAATGTGAATTCCAGCCACCCTTCCTTCTTTTATGGATATTATGTAATAGAGCTTCCCAACCTTTTTGTTCCTCTGTACCCCTTGGTCATTCTCTCTCGAAGCACTAATGGAGGAAGCAGAGCTTACCCAGTTGGCTTATCCCTAGTTTATCAACTGATTTGTAACGAGGGTGTTCTATATTGCTTATATTCTACATTACTTATTGAAAAACATGAGTTATAATGTAGCACAGCAATAACATCTAAACGTTCACCATTATCACCACAGAATTGGCGACGGGGATAGGATAAATCCACCATTTTTGATACAGCCCAAATTCTGTAGGCCAGATTATCTTCAGACACTCCTTTTAAAACACTTAAAGAGTTACACTGATGACCAAGTTCTACTTGCACGTGAGACTGTGGTACAGGTTAAGTATGATAGCAATAATTATTATTTGCCTCTGGTTGTGGTGAAAGGGGAAAAAAGTGGTTGAAAAAGATAAAACTAAATTGGAACGAAATATTAAGTGTCAGCAATGAAGAGTCAAGAGAGGACCTTAGAAGATGTTCTTAGCAAATCCCAGTTAGATTGATGCTGGTCCTGATGACAGAATTGAGTGCTACATGGCAGAAGTGGAAATCGAAAAGGGAAGTATGCCAACATACTGTAAAGCTAGGCCAGTTCCCTATACCCTAATGGATTGTGTGTGTAAAGAACTGGATAGAGTACAGTGGTATAACAAAAAAGGTCAAACACTCAAAATGGACTGCACTCATTGTGGCTGTCCAAAAAGCCAAAGGCAGCACTAGGATTTATGGGGATTATAAGATAACTGTGAATAAGGTTGTGGAAGAGGATGCCTACCTTTTACCTACTGCTGAAGATTTGTTTGCTACCTTATCAGGGGGAACAATATTTAGTAAAATTGATCTCAGAAATGCCTATCAGAAGCTAGAACTGAATGAGAGGAGTAAGGAATTGCTTACTATCAACACTCACTAGGGGTTTTATATCAATTCCAAAGATTACCGTTTGGTGTGTCAATAACACCAGCAATATTTCAAAGTGTTATGGATCAGATTCTAGGTGGAATCGATGGTGGCGTGTGTTTCCTAGATGGCATTTTTATCAGTGGTAAATCTGAAGAGGAACATATCAAGGTGCTGGGTGAAGTATTGCCAAGATTGCAAGAGTATGGGTTAAAGCAAAGCAAATGCTGTTTCATGAAGTCTAGTGTGACCTATTTAGGCCACAAAACTGATGGGGATGGAATTCATCCAACAAAAGAGAAAGTGAAATCCATCTTACAGGAAAAAGTCCCACAAAATGTGGATGAGCTGAGGACTGTCATTGCATAGTGGTGGACTATTGTAAGCTCATCCCACATTTAACAACCAGGTTTAGATACTTTTACTACATATTGCAGGAAGGGGGGAATGGAATTGGTCAGTGGGATGCCAAGGAGCATTTGATGAAATGAAAAACTGGTTTGTAAGTGACCAAGTACTAGTGCACAATAACCCAATGAAACATTTAGTTTTAGCCTGTGATGTGTCACCGATAGGCCTAGGAGTGGTTTTGTCACAAATTATGGAAAAGGGGAGAGACCCATAGGCTATACTTGGAGACTTTAACAGACTCTGAGTAAAATTATGTGCAAATGAAAAAAGAGGCACTATCAATTATCTATGGGGTAACCAAATTTCTTAAGTACTTGTACAGCAGGAGACTTACTCTCCAGATAGACTATGAGGCACTTACAATAATATTTGCATCCAAGAAGGGAGTACCATCCTTAGCAGTGGCAAGATTACAGAGATAGGCATTAATTTTAATGGTTCATAGGTATGACATTAGGTACCCGAGATCAACAAATCATGCAAACATTGATGTTCTGTCAAAATTCCCAGTGAGTAGTGGAAACTTTTTTAGCCTGTGAGCGAGAAACCAACTACTTTACCTACATTAAGGACCTTCCAGTCTCAGCTAGTGTCATTAATGGAAGAAACCAGGAAAGACCTGATCCTAAACAAAGTTTTGCATTATGTATGAAAGCATCAAAGACTACTTTATAATGTGAAATGCGTTGACTGTATATCAAGGTTGTCAGGGTTTTATAGTTCCGCGATTCTTTACAGTAGGAGTTTAGGACTTGTTGGCGATAAGTTTCAACAGTAACTAGACAGCACACAATCCACTTGTTTTAAAATAATATATATTCAAAACATGTCAAACGTATGTACAAGAATTTGTTACACTATTGGTTATCACAGTTGTATCCAGAGCTTTAAATAATTGTCTCCTATTTATCAAAGTCTACACAGAAGGGTTCTTCAATTCTTCTCTATCTCTGTTATTACAGTACAAGCTTTAGAAATCGCCTGTTATATCTAAACTGATACAGTTTATCTTCACTTTTATTTCATTTTCATTAACTTTTCCTAATTTTGTCACATATATATGTATTGCCTGACTGAGGCCTAGAACTTTTACAAACTACGAGACGTTATGATGTAACAATGCTTACTTAAAGCAACAGGAAAAACTGAGGTTGTAGTAACATGCTGTCAATTCCCAACAATTCAACGTCGCAAATGATTCGTAAACAGTTACTTAAGCAAACGTGCAATAAATTATCGTTTCTAAAAATACTAAATTTAACACTCGCTTTTTAACTATCTTAATCATAACTCTCGTATTAAATGAAACAGTCATGTATATCTAACATGTTAAATGGTGTTTAAAAGTCATTATTCCTCCAAAATCTAGAAAGTCGCTTTCTCCAGCAGTTGCATCAAGAACATACTGGGATAGTAGTATGAATGCAGTAGGTAGAAGCTATTTTTAGTATCCCAGACTTGACCAAGACATTGAAAATGTTGTACAAAATTGTGAAGCTTTTCATCAGTGAGAAACAACACCCCAAGAGCACCATTTGTATCATGATCATTATTCTTCAGCACTGTTTCTCTTCACCTTATTCCTTTTCACCTTGTACATCAAGGCATCAAAATTGGTACAAGACAAGAAGAAATAGAACGGAAAGGCAGTAAAAGATACGAAACTGGTTCTTTTTAAAGAACAAATAATTCTAAAAGTTGAAAGGAATATTTTTGAATGAAATATATATGTGTGTGCATATATAAACAGTGTGTTTCACATACAGCTTCTACTATCGAATTAGCTACAGAAAAACAACTTCTGCAGTCCACTGTTTCTACACTTACTTTGGTTGGCATTTCATGGTTTCACCACAGAGATGTAGTTTACAGGCTACACTTGAAAGTAACTTCTGCATGATATCCTAACCTAAAATGTCAGTACTCAAGCCACAATCTTTGATAAATTCTAGTACATATGGAGTTATTATGCTCAAAGTAATACCGCCTTTCTGTTCAGTACAGGCAAATCACCATTCACAACGTCATTTACCCAACTCGACTATTGGCATGCCTAGCAATGGCATACACTATAGAACCAAGTAGAATTCTAGTGATTTCTGTGTTAATTAAAA